ATCTTTTTCATTGCGCTGTGATGACGTCACATACGCGCTTTCGTCGACCGCGATTTTGTCGTCCGCGGTTTTGTGGTGGAACCATTCTGGATATATTGAGGACCATGACTCCATCCTCCTTAAAGGCCATAGTCTGTCATGACCAGTTGACTTTTTGATTGGAAATTAAGGAAGTTGTAGTTCAGATTGGGCAAGGCTGTGATAAACTATTGAGAAAAGACTATTCTGCAAAGCCTGATACTTTATTAAAGACCCAAAGGGGCTTGTCTCTGAAAGCTGCACTGAATTACAGGATTCACTAGGCAAGCTTAATAGAGCAACATGGTTAAAAGGTAATTTCTATGACAATTTGAAGTGTGGCAATTAAAAACTGGCAGGGTAACGGAAGAAAATATTGGACGTATTTGCCTTCAGTCTCAGAGCACCAGTAGGACAAAAACAGCTGAAGTAAGTCCTATCATGTTTTTGATTATGGCCAAATTCAATGCTACAAAGACAAATGCTTTTTGTTTCTTCTGGCTGCTGCTCTTATAGATATTGGTTAACGCTTTCCTTTGCTTTCAATTTCATAATGATGTTTTTAACCTCTGCCAAGTTAAAATAAAGACCAGATGTGCAGAACTACTTATTCATCAGGCTTCCTCTGCTGACAACTGTGTCCTTGTTGTCAACACATTCAATAATATGCAGATTTTTTTATAGGCTGCTCGACTTCAGGCGTTCAGCACTTCCCTTTGATCTGACTCTCAATATTAATAAAAGAAAACCTGGAACTGAAGAGTGCTACTTTACATGGGCAGCCACAGGTCTCTAAGGCTAGCTGACATTTTTCAATTATGTAAATCCCACCACCCCCAATAGACAAAGAAGCATAATTTGCTTTATTAGATTCAATGAGCAAGCTTGAAGAAAAATGCTAAGAATTGCTAAATAGGACCTGATATGTTGCATAAGATTGCTTTAATCACTGTGTGGAAGAAAGAACTCCAACTGGATAATTGGACCTAAGTTCTTCTATTCATCTTAGCAGGTTTCTAAGGCATATTAGGTGCCATTGCCCCACCCTGTGTGTCAGGGGGAAGGTGTAAAAAAAACTGTGAATGCATGATCAAAGCTCCAACTCTCTTTTCATCACATAATCTATTTTAACTTTCTTAATATCGCCTTACAGAACCTCTGCCCCCATATTATCTTTCTTCCCTTGTGTGTACATGTGTGTTACTTTATTACCTTTTGCTTGCCATTTAGTGTTATCCAGATTTATATAGCCCAGATATAGTTGCATGCAAACCTTAGAAAATAACTCATATGGCTGCTTCTAAAACTGTCCCTGGTTGACTCAAATAAGCATATGTTCATATGCAGACAACAAAAGTCAGAAACAAACAAGTCACCTTATGGATTACAACATGTAAATGGGATGGGTTCCTGCCAGTTCTAACCTCTTCTATAGAAGAGGTTCCACAAATCTACAGTGCCATTTAGAACTGGTTCCAGCTCCCTCCCACCACCCGTCCGCACATCATCAAGATGAAGAGCGAGAGGAGGAATTCTGGGAGTTGAAGTCCACAAGTCTTAAAGCTGTCAAGTGTAAACACCCCTGTTTTTTTCTAAAGGGTTAGGGGTGCAAGGATCTTGTAACTTGACAGCTTTAAGACTTATGGACTTCAACTCCCAGAATTCCTCCTCTCGCTCTTCATCTTGATGATGTGCTGACGGGTTGGGGAGGGAGCTGGAACCAGTTCTAAACGGCACTGTAGATTTGTGGAACCTCTTCTATAGAAGAG